TCTGTATTTTCTTATCTTTTTATAATAAGCAATTATGATTATAGTTAGAACAAAATCTACTTTTATTCATAAATCTCAATCAATATGCTTCTCAATTAATTGTGTAGAGAAAACATGGACCTTCTAACTGCTTGGCATAGTGAATAAGTGAGTTGGAAATGGTATGGCAGCTGAAACCCGCCTTTGATAGGGTGATGAACGATTGCACTGTACAGCAGCTATGTGGACTAGAAAGTGGGTAGTGGTGGCCAGCATTTCTTTATTCATATACTCCTTCAACAGATATCCGTCAGTTGCTAGCTGATGTAGTTGGAATGTTTAACGATATTGATGGATATCTGTTGGATGTCATGTTGAAATGGGAACCCCAGTGTTGGAAGTGGGGCCTGGTGGGAGGTGTGTGGGTTATGGGTACGGATCTCATGAATGGCGTGATCTCCTCCCCGTTGTAATGAGTGAGTTCTTGTTCGGTTAGTTCAAGTGAGAACTGGTTATTTTTTAATTTAAAAAAAATTTATTGGCCAGGCGTGGTGGCTCACGCCTGTAATCCCAGAACCTTGGGAGGCCCAGGCGGGCGGATCATGAGGTCAGGAGATCGAGACCATCCTGGTTAACAAAATGAAACCCCATCTCTACTAAACATACAAAAAATTTAGCCGGGCATGATGGTGGGCGCCTGTAGTCCCAGTTAGTCGGGAGGCTGACTCAGGAGAATAGTGTGAACCAGGGAGGTGGAGCTTGCAGTGAGCCAAGATGGCGCCACTGCACTCCAGCCTGGCAACAGAGCGAGACTCCATCTCAAAAAAAAAAAAAGCATGGGACTACATGTGTGCACCACCATGCCCAGCTAAATTTTTGTATTTTTAGTAGAGATGGTGTTTCGCCATGTTGGCCAGGCTGGTCTTGAACTCCTGACCTCAGGTGATCTGCCTGCCTCGGCCTCCCAAAGTGCTGGGATTACAGGTGTGAGCCACTGTGCCTGGCCCTGGTTGTTTAAAAAGAGCCTGGCACTTCTCCCTCTCACACTTACTCCCTCTCTTGCCGTGTGACATTCCGGCTCTCCTTTCCCTCTACCATGTCTAAAAGCTTCCTAAGGCCTTACCAGAAGCAGATGCTGGTGCCATGCTTGTTAAACAGTCTGTAGAACCGTGAGCCAAATAAACCTATTTTCTTCATAAATTGTTCGGCCTCAGGTATTCCTTTATAGCAATGCAAAACGGACTAACACTCTGCCCCAACAAATTAATCAATCTGTGTCTGTGATTTTCTCATGTGTCAGGCAGGGATAATAATTATACCTACCTCATAGAGCTCCTTATGGGATTAAATTAGGTAATTTATATAAAGCAGTTAGCATACAACTGGGCACACCTGTAATCACAACACTTTGGGAGGCCAACGCAGGCAGATCACTTGAGATCAGGAGTTCAAAACCAATCTGGGCATATGACGAGACCCCCGTCTCTACAACATAAATAAAATAAACAGAATATTACCTGGTATATGATAAATATCCAATGTTAGTTTTGGGGTTTGTTTATGGATTTCCTTATTTTAATAAGTATCTCATAATATGTACAAAATGCTGCTAAATTAGACACAGATCTTTTCCTTAAGAAGTTAGGATTCTGGCAGAGAAAAAAGACCTGCCCCCAAATAAATATGTGTCAACAGAGAAAAGGGTGTGTTTCTTAAGAAACAGAGAGTACTAAGGAAATTCAGAGGAAGGAGAGACCCCTTCTAAACTGGGGGTAGAGGGTGGAATTAAACAGCCAGAGTTTCCTTCATCCTCAAAGGAGCTGATACTACTGTCTGTGAAAAATAGCCAAGTTTCCTGAAGGGAAGCCCTTTAAGAGGCGGTAGTGCAAGGGGGTTGTGGATTCAGGACTGGCCCCACACAGTCCCTAGTTAGGGCGCAGGCTGTGCCCCTTGCTCCCGTGAGCCTTTGAGCAGGTTAGTCTGCTCACCATGCATCTGTTGCTATAGCTGTAAGATGTGAATATTAATAATGTCTCCTGTACCTGATTATTGTGAGGATGACATTAAGTGGTGTTTACAGAGTGCTCAGTGCACAGCGTGGCCCCCGCCCACATAAGTGTGTCCAGTATTGTCAGTTAAAGAAGAAATGAATGTGTCGGTGTTGCTTTGGTTCTGTCTTCCGGATTCTGTCACAGACATAGAATTACTCAGTTCACAAGGGAAGTGATACAAAGTACATGTTGTTGAAGAAAATGATGTTGTTTTTATGAATGGGCTCCTTACTATTATTTTTGTTCAAGTAACAAAACATGATTCAAAGCACCCATCTCAAGAGCCCAGCCTCATTTCCTGACGCCTACTCAGGCTTCTGGAATAAAGGCTCAGCCAAACAATGGCCCCGACCTCCAGTCCCTCCAAACTGAGTGCTGCTGCTGAGAACAGGCCTGACAGCTCTGGGTGGGCTTTTGTTCGTTACTCATCCTGACATTCTGGAGAAATACAGGACCCTCTTTATTTAAAATGACTTTATTTCATTGTCACATCACCATTAGGGCAAAGGATGATGAAATGGTCAGAATTAGACAAGAAGTATTCAAGTATTTTTCAATGTATAGTATGTGCCAGGCACATAACCAACACAAGAACCTTGGAGAGTAAGGCTTTTCTTCTTCTCATTTTACACTGGGAAACCAAGGCACAGCAAGAAGGTCTAGCGTCCAGAAGGAAGCCCAGATCTCTCCGAGCTGTGAGCGACTGCTCTCTGTGGGTTACCAGAATGGTGGTTTTTTTTGGTTTTTTTTTTTTTTTTTTTTTAAGACAGAGTCTCACTCTGTCACCCAAGCTGGAGTGCAGTGGTGCAATCTCGGCTCACTGCAACCTCCGCCTCCCATGTTCAAGCAATTCTGCCTCAGCCTCCCAAGTAGCTGGGACTACAGGCGCACACCACCACATCTGACTAATTTTTTTTGGATTTTAGTAGAAACGGGGTTTCACAGTGTTGCCCAAGCTGCTCTTAAACTCCTGAGCTCAGGCAATCCACCCGCCTGGGCCTCCCAAAGTGCTAGGATTACAGGCGTGAGCCAGCACGCCCAGCCAGGCTGGTGTGGTGTTTATTCCACAGCAGTCCTATGTCACATTGTTGAAAAGCCTTCAGATTGGCAAACTCCCTCCTCATATAGCCTGTTTTCTTGGGTGTTTTTTGATAAGCATCTATGTTTTCTGAGAACTAGTAAAAAGTCTCGTTAAACCATAAACTACCACAGCCTCTTCCCCACTACAGAGAGCCGCTTTCCCAGTAGAGCTCCGGTCCCACCTTCCCATCACCATCGAAGTGGCATTGAAACATATCACATCTGCTCCCTTTGAGAGAGTTAGCCGAAGCCCAGTCTTGCTTCAGGCCACATAGGATTTGGGTAGCAAAGCAAGGAAAGCAGCCTCTCCGACCTCGTGGCCTGCGTGCTTCCTTTCCCAGGCTGGCTGCAGCAACCGTTTTGAGAAATGGCGTTGGCATTGTCGTGTGTGGCATGTGTGCTGACCTAGTTAGGAGTTGAGGCTTCATTTCTAATTCTGTCCCTTTCGTTTTGAGCTGTGTGACCTTGGGCATGTCACCTGACTTCTCTGTATATGTCTTCTTATCCAGGAAGGAGAGGTTGATCATGTAGCCTCATAGCACTTATCTCACTCTCCTAAGGATGCTATGAGAATCAAATGAGATTATGTACAACGAGAGCAAACATTGATTCAATATTTACTATGTACCAAGTACTTTCAATTTCCTTACATGTGTTTTTTAATTCTCACAATCCTAAAACAGAGGCACGAGTATCCCACTTGACAGTGAAAAAAACTGAAGTTCAGAAAAATTAAGTCACACAGGACTCAGATCCGCATCTGTGGCTCCCAAATGATGTTCCTAACCACTATGCATGTCACCTTGCTTCCCATTGTACACAAAAGTAGAGAGATGTTCTTTGTCTTTCCCATCAAGCAGTCTCCAAATGCAAGAAATGATCTCTCGTAACCACTGCTGTTCCATGTTGGTCCCTAAGGACACTTACAGTCTCTTACTTGTTTGTCTTGTCTTGTAGTTTATGCTGCTGCTTTTCATGTCCCTAAGGACTTGTTCAGTGAATTCTTTTGGTTTTACTCCCAAAGAATCTGTTCATCTTCTTCATAAAGGGGGTAAAGGTGCCCAGCTGAGCCTGGCATCTTGGGTAATGGCCTCTGACTTCTCCAGGGTTCTTCCTTCCCTCAAGCATGTAGTTGGGTAGCTTGTAGTAAAATGCTCTGTAATGCATTTGTTGATAAGCTCCCCAGTCACTGATTTTTAGTCATTGAATCTCAGAAGTGGAAAGCACCAAAGCCAGCATTTTGTTGATAGGGAAACTGAGGTCCAGAGAGGGATGTAACTTGCTTGAGGTCATTCATTCAGTTGAAGGCCTGACCAAGACCGGAACCCAGTTCCCCAGGGGACAGACCAGTGCTGTTTCCAAGCCTTCCCCGTGGGCACACATCACCTACCCTACATGAAGGACAAACTCATGTACTGTGCCCAGCATGTACCTAGGAGACTTGGGAGAAATTAAACAACTTGGAAAATTGGACAGGAAGAAGGAGATAGGTGTGGGGTGGGGTGAAGATCTCCACCTTAACTAGTATATTATATACCAAAGAAAGGAATTAAACACACGGGAAAGCAGACAACCCACTAAAAAGCAAAGGAATTTACCCAGGAACCCGGGCTCAGTGAGTGGATAGGAAACCTTTTGTCACTAAAGCTGCAGGGTTGAAAATTGAAGGAAGGATGTTAGGCGAGCGTGGTGGCCTGGGATGCAGTTACAGCCCCCTGGCTCATTGTCCAAAGGAAATGGATCTCTCCCGTGGACAGAGAGGTGGAAACTGAGTGAGTGAGTTGTGTGGTTGACATCATCAGGCTGAGCATTGGATTACAACAAATGGGGACTTACTTGGCCCGAGACATGGGAAACACCCACTAAAACCTCAAAGTGCTTTTCATTTAGGAGACACGGGGAAGAGACAGAGAGCGGGGTAAAGTGAGAATCCTGCCTGCACCACAGGTCTGGACTGCTAACCTTGAATCCTGGTTTCGTAAATTCTGCCTCCGCTTCTGACTGAGGACCGCTGGATTTTGAGGAAACTTTTGCTCTTGTAAGTAGAACTTTACTCTCCTCCCCTGCCCACCACCCCCAGGGAGAAGCAGAGCTTGGAGGCAGAGCTCTCTGGAGAGCTTGCTTTCCAGCCTGTTGGCCACAAAATGTCTATTTTTATATAATGATATATGTGAGCTTGCTCTGAAAATTATGGCCTTGTCTGAAACTGCCTAAGGCTAGTCAGGAGCCTCAAGTCTCACAGATGGGCTCCATTCAGATGCCGTTTCATTTTTACCCAAAGAACTTTGACAGAGTATTCAGAGCTTTAAAAGCAGCTCCTTGTTCCAAATATAGGTGAAGAAATAAATCTTCCCTAAGAAATTGGTGTTTGTAAAACCCTTACTTTTTTTCTGATTACAAAGGTGGTATAATAATTTTTAAACATTCTAGAAAGAAAAGTCTCCGAAAGTGGTGAAAATTCCCCATGATCTTCCCCCTCAGGAATATGATTGTTGTGTTAAATTTCAGTTACAGATACGGTCAGACTTCATGAATTTATCACATGTAAACCCAGTGCTACAGCAGCTGTGGAAAACTCCAAGATGGAAAGGGGTTGGGAATCTTTAACCTTGGGTTTGCGATCTTTTTATTGCTTCCTTTTAAAAATTTGCTGTTTATGCCTAGAATATAAACAGGACATGTAAGCCCTTAGGCGTTTTATTTGTTGGTATCTGTTTTCAGGGTTTGAAACTAAGCAAGCTACTCTGTAGAGAGGAAAACCCAGGTCCCTTACTTGGTGGGTCCCTGAACTGAGGGTTCCTAGGTGGCTTGAGATGGCTTGCAGTGTGTGGGAGCCCAGCTCCCCCGTTAGCAGGTTAAGTATATTTGAAAAGTTACAGCTAACAGGGAAAGATTTCAGCTTAAACAAAAAGCTACCATATATTAGAAGGGTCACCCGAGGAAACTGTCACCTTGGGCAAGTGTTTCACACTCTCTAGGTCTTGTTTCTTCATTTGTACCTAATGAGGGGACAAAACTAGATGATCTCTGTATTTCCAAATTCAGTATGAAACGAACTGTCTATATTTCTTTTCCCTTTGTGTTGGGCCCTTATGGCTTTAGGAGCAAAGTATCCTAGGTTTTTGGTTTCCCAGAGGAGCTAAAACCGGGTGCCTGGAGGACAGTTAAAAGAAGACATAAAACAGGCAACATTAAGTTACTTCTGAGTTTTTATGGGTCTTTTTCAGGTTAGGTGTTCTTGAAGAAAGACAAAGTCTCAGTGGTATGTGTGTGTGCACACGCATACACAGGCACGTACACGTGGGGAGAGAGGAAAGAAGGAATTGACATTATGGAGTATCTCTTAAGCACTAGGCCCTATCTTATGCTCAACCCTTTACAGAGCACTAGATGGTCAGTATTATTCCCTCCCGTCACTGACTGAGGGCAACCATCTACTTATAGGCTCTCATATTCTCCTGAACCCCTTCATGTTTAACTGAACTGTATTTACATAATTACTGGCGTAACTTCAGTTCCCCATGTCTCCACTAGACCATCTGCATGCTCTCTGCGTGTCTGTCTAGCCCATCACTATGCCCCATTGCCTAGTAGAAAGCCTGACACGTAGGTACAAAGGAGACACGACGTAATTTAAATGTAAAGCCCACCATCCTAGTTCCTAGTTTGGCAAGACAGGGAGAAGAAAGGGGAAAATCCCTCTATTTGCCCCTGTTTCATCATTTAGGATAGACCCACCCCCTCCTGCCACTAGGGAAGGATAGCCACAGCCAGAGTGCAAAAAAAAAAAAAAAAAAAAAAGCAAAAGACATCAGATCTTTAATTTTGAGTTTCTAAGGTGCCAGCTCTTAACAAATTAAGGGTTTTTTTTTTTCTTGCTTTCTTTCTCTCTCTCTCTCTTTTTTTTTTTTTTTTTAATCTTTAAGCGCATCAGAGACCCTAATCCTCAGGAAGTTGTGGTATTTAGAAACTATTTGTTTGAATTAAGGTTTTAGTTAACAGGAGGGTTGTCTCCCAGGCTGGAGTGCAATGGCACAATCTCGGCTCACTGCAACTTCCGCTTCCCGTTTTTGTTCAAGTGATTCTTCTGCCTCAGCCTCTCGAGTAGCTGGGTTTACAGGCGTCTGCCACCACGCCTGGCTAATTTTTGTATTTGTAGTAGAGATGGGGTCCCTTGGCACTTCTTAAAGCTGCAGTCTTCCCCAGCATTTCATCCCATCGAAGGTGGACTGTTGCTGCCATGGACCCACTCATGGGCATGGGCAGTGGGAAGGCCAGGGCCTCCTCTGCTTCATCCCAGCCCCCCTGGGATCTTGAGATTTGGGGTAATCAAAAAAGCCACCTTTTTTCCTAAGGTAGTAGTGAGGAGGTGATGTTCCAGAAGGAAGGTACCTAGATTTTGTGGTCCCTGCCAGGAAGTGGAGAGTGGAAATATGGAATGCCTCACACTCCTCAACTAGGCCTTCATGTACCAGATGAGGGTGGCTTTCAGTTCTTGTTTTGTGTGTCAAAGTTGCTCCTGTTATCAGTGTGTGTTTCCTGATCTACCCCACCTCAGTCACTCCCGGCAGTGAGTTTAGGGCATCTTGGGAGTGGAGGTAGGTTGTGGAAAAGACGTGTCCAGAGATCTTATTTGGCTTTTGTATCTTCCTGAAATAAATGTCACACACAGGGCTGGGCATCTTGGATATGCTGACTTCTGTTAATCTTCACAGCAATGATGTGAGGCAGAGATCACCTCCATTTTACACATGAGAAAGGCACAGAGAGGTGCAGTGGATTGCCCAGAGTCTCACAGCTGGCAGGGGATAGAGCTTGAGTTCCCAATGAGAACTGGCTATCCCCGAAGCCCTTGAATATTTCACCATACTGCAGTGCCTTTTTCATATCACCTCCCTGGATTTCAGTCACTCCATCTGTTAAATGATGATGAGTGAACTTGAGTCAGAAGTCAGAGTAGTGTTTTGGTTTTAATTTGAATGCCTTTAGGCAGGTGTGTTCTCCAGTTCATTGCCATTTGTGCATTCCCCTGCCCCATCACTTGTGCCCTCTAGTCTCCTCCCTGGCCCCTGGCCCCTGTGGGAATTTGCAACCCTGCGTCTGGTTGGTGTCCGCCATCTCTTTCAATTTAGACAATCTAGAGTTCGGTGAGAAATTGGAAAGGGATAGCAGGTAAGAGCTCTGCTCTCACCACCTCCTAGCTGGGAGATCCTAGACTGATCACTTCACCTTATAGAACCTACTTCTTTTTCTGGCAAGTGGGGGGTCACAGTCATACTGACCTCAAAGGGGTACCATGTGGATGAAATGAGATAGGGCTCATAAAGCACTTACTTGGTACAAAAATACATGCTTAGGATTAGCTGCTCTCAATTTCCAGAGAGAGAATGTCAGCCAGTGTACACAGGCATCTGCCCCCTCAGACATAGGATGGCATTTGCATGAGGAACTGGAAGTTATCTTTGAACTCATCATTTTGAAACCCCTGTGATGGACCCTGGAGCTGCCATGTTGGCTCTTCAAACATTATTTCCTGTCACCCAGTCAAGTGCTGCTGAACCTCACATCAGCCAGCCAGTGCTGAGGCCAAAAGCAGAAGTGGGTGCTGTTCTCTTGGGACCAGAGGACCCTGGCCCAGCCACTTAAGGAAGACGCTGGTAGCATGTGCTGGGTGTGACAGACAAGAAGCTGAACTGGCCCAATTAACTCTGCCAAGTGCTTTCACGAGGGGCCAGAAGGAATTCCTAAGTGGAGACTGAGGTGGAAAATCTAAAGTTCTGGGAAACAGGTTATTAATCATGACCCTAGGCTGAGCTCACTACCTCCTGGAAATCCTTCAGAAATGCCTTAGGAAAACTTGGAGTACTGCTCCTTCAAAGAATGGTTTCTTTGGAAGTTGCCATCGGCACCTATGCTGACTGATTATGACTTGCAGATTAGAACACATGATGCATCCGCTCTTACTGGAGGAAGCCCCTTTTCCTAAAAAGTCTCTTTAATCTTTCAAGAAATTACAGGTTTTAGCTTGGCTCTTCAGAACTGAATAATGGCCCTTCATGGCACTGAAGAAAGTATTTGGTGTATTCTTACTATGTCCCAGGGACCTAGGTCAGTTTTCGTACTGTTTTAGTACTTTATCAGTGTGGCCTTTAACATTCCATAAATGTACGTTGAGAGCCTGTTAGTACTAAGCACTGGGCTAGAGGACCGGGTAAAGACACTCCCTCTGGTCTTGTGGAATTCTCTGTCCATCAAGGGAAGATAGGCAGAGGAGTGAATAATTTTAATGGCATGTGAAAAGTACTGCGAAAGAAATATGCACAAGTGCTCTAAAATGCCAGACACTGGATCAGCATCTTGTGGAGGTCCTGATCTTGCACTGGGTTGATTCCTTCTGCTCTCTCCCTACAGTTCCTGACTCTGGGAGCTTTGCCAGCATTTGCATTAGGAAGCAACTGAGAGCTGCCCCTGCTGAAGCACTCATTTCTGGCACCTTCCTATCCCCTGTGGCTTCAGAGGAAAGAACACTTCCTCACAAAATGTATGGGCCCCACCTGAGAGGGCCCTGAATCTGAAGTCCAAAGTTGTAGTAAGGAAACAGAGGGACGGGTGACTTTTGTAGTCTAAAATCACCACTGATTTTCCATTGGTTTGTTTTTATAACATTTATTGTGGATTTTTTTTTCTGATTGCAAAATTAGAATATGTTTAAGGGAAGAAAAGCTAGATAGTACAGAAAAACACACTTAAAATAAATCATCACTCAGTGATTTCACTTCTCTGTTTTTGAATAAGGGCCTGTCTCCCAATCCCCCCACCCACACTACTGTATTTCAAGTTTAGCTCTAATTTTAATTTCTCCCTGGGCAGAGTCTCATGTTTGTTTGCATATCTCAAAGGTGCTTGTGTTCTGGGCTCCAGTCACTACTATCTGCAATTGGTTAGAGCCTGCGGCCATCATTTGTACTTTCCTGTGTGTGTGCATGGATTCATCTACTGCTGAGAACCCTTTATGTGTTAGGCATCCTGCAAGGTGCTATGGGGAATGTCAGGGTAAATAAGACTTTGAGGTTGGGAAAAAAGACTCAGATAACATGAACACATTGTGAAAATGCCCCAAGATAGGGACAGAGTCCTGTAGAAAACCTAAGAAATTGGAGGAGCAGTAGCATTTGAGCTGAGCCTTCAATAAATTTTTCACGTATTTAGCCAGTATTTTTTGAGAACCTAATACCCGCCAGGCACTGGGCAAGGTGATAGGTGGATGATGTTAAATAAAACAGGCATGGCCTTTACCTGCATGAAGTTACAAGCACAACTGGTGACTTTAAGAAGTCAATAAGCAGGGGGAGTGAAAGAGGAGAGTGTGGCTGGGGTCTTCCTTGAAAAGGTGCTATTGAAACTGAGAAGGGGGCTGGGCGCGGTGGCTCATGCCTGTAATCCCAACACTTTGGGAGGTCGAGGCAGGTGGATCACCTGAGGTCAGGATTTCAAGATCAGCCTGGCCAACATGGTGAAACCCCGTCTCTACTAAAAAAATACAAAAATTAGCCGGGTGCGGTGGCACGCGCCTGTAGTCCCAGCTACTTGGGAGGCTGAGGCAGGAGAATCGCTTAAACTTGGGAGGCAGAGGTTGCAGTGAGCCAAGATCGTGCCGTTGCACTCTAGCCTGGGTGACAGAGTGAGACTCCATTTCAAAAAAAAAAACTGAGAAGAGGAGTCAGTTATACCAAGAGTAAAGGAGGGAGAGGGAGTAAAGAAGGGTGCTGGATTATTCCTTCCTTTGCTCATTATTGATTCTAAAAACCTCACTTATTTTCTGTATTCAGTTTCCTTTCTATTGGAGAGTATTCTTGGGGCCTGTGAATGGTAAACTTGCCCAGTCTTTGTTTGAAAATATCTTTTGCCCTCACACTTCATATGTTAGCTAGATATAGAATTTTTTGCATAGCATGTGTAATGAATGTGAAAGTTACACATGCCTCTTTAAAAGTTTTACGTGCCTCTTTAAAAGTTTTCAATCAAAACAGAAATAGATAATGTACAAAGTGAAAGTCTTTCATTTCTTTTCTCACAGTTTCTCAAAAGAGATGAATTTTTTTCGAAAGAGAGAAATTTCCCAGGGAGAACCATTGGTTGCAGTTTGCCCTTTTCTATGTATACTGAAAATTGTTTAAAGTGTAAAGTATGTATACTTTTTAAAAATGTGCATGTACACAAATGCTGCACTTTTTTCTTTTTTCTAAACATAAATAATCACGTTCACATTTGAGCTGGACACAGTAGTTCACACCTGTAATCTCAGCTACTCAGGAGGCTAAGGGTGGATGATTGCTTGAGGCCAGGAGTTTGAGGCTACAGTGAGCTATGATCGCACTAGTATACTCCAGCCTGGGGACAGAGTGAGACCTTGTCTCTTAAAATTTAAAAAAAAAGTAAATATTTTTTTAAATTAAAAAATGATAATATATGCAATTTTACAATATACTTTTTAACAATCAAGCATGTACATTTTCCCATATCAGTACAATGAAATCTCCTTCATTCTTTGAAATAGCTGTATAGTTTCTCATGGTATTGATACACCATAATTTAACTGTTTTTCTATTAATAGACATTTAAGTTGTTTTCCCCCCTTGCTTTTGCTACTGTACAGTGTTTCACTGAGTATCTTTTTACTTAGGTAAATATATCTGTAGTATAAATTCCTGGACATTTCAGGAATGTGACGTGTCCAGGAATTTCACCCCAAAGGATATGTGTGCACATTTAACATGTTAATAGGTATTGTCAACTTGTCTTCCCAAAAGATTGTTTCAATTTATAATCCCAGAGTATGTATAGCTCTAATTTTTGCTTTTCTTCTGGTTCCTTAGAATTCCCATACTGATTAGTCAACAGTGGAAAATCTGAAGAGATGCAAGCAGGAAAAAGAAATTAAACCAGGTAGGTAGTGATGCTGTTCATACTCTACTGCCAGAGCAGCACACATTTTTGCCTGAATATCTTTATTTCTGGCCGAAGGAAGAAAATACATAAGTTCCAAATGAAATTAGTGGGAGATTTTGACCCTATGAAGAAAAAACAGGATGGCTCTTTTCAAAAGTTATATACATAACATCACGCTGCAATTTCACAGTCAAGATTCCATTTTCAGGCAGTTCTTTGTAATAGCATCAGAAAGACAGTTTACCTCTGGTGGCTTAAGAGGGGATGGGTTTCCCGGCCATGTACTTAAGCAGGTGCAATCATACACAGGAGTTACTAGCAATGTTGGGCCTGGTGCCAGCTTTCTTCTCCGCCAAGAGTTTTCTGTAAAGCTGTTTTCACAAAGACCGGGGCACATTATGGGAATTTTCATTTTAATGCTGTAATAGAGGAGCAAAAGCAGGCAAAACCTAACCCAAAGAAATGGGTTCGGCCCAGTAGTCTGGTGAGAGGGGATGAAGATGCGGTTCCTCCAGCTGAGAACAAATTGCCATTCACAGAGCACAAGTGGCCCGCCTGGCAGTATGGCCACCTTGGGTCAATGTCCATAGTTTATGATGTCTAAATGTTTCTGGCATAAGTTAATAATTTTAAACTCAGGGTAGCATAATAATTGACTTTTTACCTAAAGCAGCAGTATTTATCAACAAATCTGGTGAATTTCTTTGAATTGTCAAGTTGGAAGTACTGGGTCCACAGAGATCTTTTTACCCACCGGGCATCTATCGGCATCCATGGATGTAGTTGTTAAGGTATCAGAATTGAAGGCTATTCTGGATTGGCCTATACCCACCTGGACCTTCTCCATAGCTGGAATTTTCATAAGGAGGCTAAAGAGCCTGGGGATGAGCGCTTTGCTCTGAAGAGCTTGCGGAATCCACTGTGCGTCTGTCCATAAGCTAAGGATGGTGTGAGAACTGAAAGCTGCATGAGAGAGAGAAGGTCTTGTGATTTTCTCTCTCTTCAGCACTGTAGGGGCACAGTGCAGCTGTGTCTGGTGCAGCTCAGTTTATACTCCTGCCTCAGCCAGGAAAAGTTTTTTCATTTTTACATTAATTTAGCAGATATTTATGGAGCATCTTCTATAAATTGGACACCAGATAACAAAGCAGAAGTGGCACAGTCCTTGCCCTCAGGAAGCTTATGGGTATGGCTGACAATAGACTAGTAGCAGTAGTCTGTGGTAGGTCCAGAGGGCTAGTGGGCGGAGGGTGCTGAGGCTTGAAAGGTATGCAGGAGATGACTTGGAGAAGAGTGGACAGGGAGAGGCTGGGGGCTTGCGGAGAAGCACGGCGAAGGCCTGGAGGCTTGGGGGGTGCAGCACTCCATGGAAATTCCATGGGCTGAACACAGTGCAGAGGGGGTGCCCTGGCTGGAGTTGAGTCTGGAGGTGGCCATGAATGAATCAGAACTTTATCCTGATGGCTCTGAATGGAAAGTCACTGGAGGGTTTTAAGCAGGGAAGAATTGTGAGTCAGGCTTAGGAAGGAGACTGTCTAGCCCCAGTTTGGGTAAGGGACTGAGAGAGTTCCACACTGTGCCTGGCCCACTCTCTTCTTAGCGCCTGTGCTTCTCCTTCCCTCGGACCTTCAAGAAGTCAGAGGACAGAGCCCAAAGTCTGAGATAAGATAGCCTCCTTGGGGAGAGAAGAGGAGTGGTGCTGGGTGGGTGGGAGGGGGCACCCAGTGTGAAGCAGAGTGTACAGGTGGCCTTAGACAAGTCACTTCACCCCTGTGAGCTTCAGCTTCCTTATCTATTAAATGAAGATAATAAGTATTACTCTTCTTTTCTCTCATCTCATGAGATATCATCAGGATATCTCAAAATATCATAGATATTTTACATGCCCAGCTAGGGCTTCCAGAGAAATCTCTCTGTTTTGTTTGCCATGTAAGGATTTGTTGAAATCCTCAAGCACATATTAAGTGCATCCTGTCACTGCAGCTTATCCCCTGGGATGAAAGTAGTGAAGAAGCCTTAGCCTCAGGATCAGTCTCACAGCTCTCTCTCCCTGCAGCCAAGAAGGACCAGTCTACAGAGGGGAGGGAGCAAACACAGACTGAAGGCCAGGTATGTGCTGGGCCACACCCACAGACAAAAGAGTGCTTGGGCAAAGCTGCTAAAACTATTATTTAAGCCATGTGCCAGGCGTGATGAGCACTTACATCCTTCTCAGCCTCATTTAGTTTGATCTTATGAAGTACATATATATTATCTCCATTTGATAGATGAGGAAACTGAGACTCAAAGAGGTGGAACTGTTTGCTGGTAGTGACACAATTAGGAAGAAGGAGAAGGGCCGGAGTCTTGAGTCCGTGCTCTCTGACTTCTGTGTGTAGTGCCTGCCATTCTGCGGTGCTCCTTCAGATCTTTCAGACAGTGCAGAGGATGCAGAGGAATCAAGGGACAGCTATTCTCTTACAAACCTTGAAAATCCTGTACAGAGCCCTCAGACAACCAAAACATGGTCCAGAACTGAATCCTGGGGCCAGCACATCCATTTAGCACTTTTCTCAATCAGTCCTTTTCCCCAGGTGCATTAAACAGGGCAGCTGCCTTCCCACCATTTGGGCAAACTGCTTGGCAGCTAGGAGTGTGCCTGCTCATCTCCCAGGCTACTTGGCTTTGCACCTCAGCAAGGAGAGCAGGCCATGCCCCCAGGGAAGCACATAGTTATTCCTTCTGCCAGAAGGACACCCCCTAATCTGGTTTGCCATGGACACTGAAGTCACTCCCTGTCTCCTGGCCATGAGGAAAACTCCTTTGAGAGGAGCCAGTGAAGCCAGTGGACAGAGTAAAAAATGAGAATCCTGCCTGGCTGAACAAGATCTCTAATGCCTAGTTCTGGAAAGAGTTGAGGCTATGTCCACACCAAGCCATTTAAAGAATCTGCCCAGTAGAATCAATATTGTCAAAACGTCCATACTACCCAAAGCGATCTACAGAATTAATTCCATTCCTATCAAAATTCCAATGGCATTGCTTACAGAAATAGAACAAATAATCCTAAAATTCCTGTGGAACCATGAAAGACCCCAAATGACTAAGGCAATCTTGAGCAAGAAGATCTAAGTTGGAGGTATCACACAACCTGATTTCAAATATTATAGACTGGACATGGTGACTCACACCTGTAATTCCAGCAGTTTGGGAGGCTGAGGCAGGAGGATTGCTTAAACTTAGGAGTTCGAGACCAACCTGGGCAACATAGTGAAACCCTGTTTCTATAAAAACAAAATCCAAAATTAGCTGGGCATGGTGGCATGCACCTGTAGTCCCAGCTACTCAGGAGGCTAAGAGGGGAGGATCACTTGAGCCCAAGCATCGCATTGAGGCTGCAGTGAGCCGTGATCATGCCACTGTACTCCAGCCTGGCTGACAGAGTGAGATCATGTCTCAAAAAAAAAAAAATTATAATGCTATAGTAATCAACACACACACACATGCATACACACACACACACACACACACACACACACACACAGGAATATTATTTAACCTTAAACAAGAAAATCCTGACATTTGCAAAAACATGGTTGAATGTGGAGGACATTCTGCTAAGTGAAATAAGGCAGACACGGAAAGACAATACTGCAGGATCTCAGTTATATGTGGAATCTAAAAGAGTTGAACTCAGAGAGAGTAGAAGGGTTGTTGGGGAAATGGGGAGATGTTGATCAAAGGGTACAAACTTGCAGTTATAAGATGAATAAATTTTGGAGACCTAATGACAGCATGATTACAGTTAATAATACGGTATTTTATACTTGAAATTTGCTAAGAGAGTATATCTTGAGTGTTCTCACCACAAAAAGTAACTGTGTGAGGTGGTGGATATGTTAATTAGCTCGATTGTGATAATCATGTCACAGTGTGAATATGTAAAATTTTTATTTGTCACTTATACCTTAATAAAACTGAAAACAATTTAAAGAATCTGCCCAGGTCACAGGAAGCCATCAGTCATACCCTGAGCTGTTGTGTAAACTCAAAGAATATGGTTTATAGCATATGGATGAGTGCTCTTGTGCCAATGCTGGGCTAAACCTTTATATCCAGTGTCTAATTAGGTAGTTTCTGTTATTATCCATGTTTTACCAAGGAGGAAACTGAGGCCTTTGGAGATTACATCATTTAGCCTATGTACCAGAGCTGGAAAGTTGCATAACCAAGATTTCACTCGAGCTTTTTTTAGTTCCACATCTTCTATTTTTTCAGCTACACCAAAACGACTTCTTGAATTTAGCTTTGCCTTTCTGATAATAGTAACCACCACCTTTTATTGAGCATCTTGTCATGTGAGCCAGGCATTATACATCCATTATTTCCAATCCCAGTAGAACCTTATAAAGTATCATTGTCCCCGTTTCACAGTTGAAGAACCTGAGGTCCAGAGAGGTCAGGAATTTTGCCTAACAGGTTTCGTCTGAGACTAAAGTGAGCTCTCAACTATCATCCTATACTTCCTTCATTCCTTACCTTTTCAGATTCCTAGGAGGAAAGGACTCAAAAAAATTACGCATGAATTTCCTTTAATTTCACAACAACCCTAAGGGTTGGGGGTTGATATCTCTGTTTTACAAAAGAAGAAACTGAGGCTCAGAGATGTTAAGTGATTTTTCTCAGCATTATACAGCTAGCAATTGGTGGAGCCCCGATTCATACAGGCTCTGATCCATAGCTTACTTGCCTCCCCTATTCCCACCCCTCACCCCCTTTCAGCTCTGTCTCATTGCAATTGGGGCAGAGAATTCAGCCTTTATTTCTCCAGGTACTAGTAGTCCTGGGAGTCTGGGGGATTTCCAGCTCCTTTGAATTCCCTCTTTTGGCCTCTGCTCTGCCTCCAGCACCTCTCTTAAGAGTCCTTTTCACTGTTGTCATAGCAGGGGTCTCATCTGGAGGGAAGCTGCCTTGAGGTTGGAACTATTCAGCTGCTTATCAGCAAGGCTTCAGGGCCTTGCCATAGCAACCTTCCAAGCCACCCATCTTGTGACCTGTTCTGACTCAGGGCCCCTGGGAATCCCCTGGTTACAGATGTCTGCAGTGACTAGGATGCAGCAGTCGGCTCCCAGGACTGTTTTTCTGGCCAAGGCCATTTTAGGAAGGCTTCTGTTCCAGCTGTGCTGGGAGAGTTGAGGTCCAGAGCCTCCAGACCTTAAGAATGCAGGGTTATGTGATGTCTAGAGCTGGGGTTTTTAGCTAGGGCTTATGGGTAGGCGTTAGGGCTTTAAGAGCCCCCTGTAATCATAGGTATGGTTACACACACACACGCAGAGAATATATCCTTTTCTGGGCAAAGTATCCGTAGCTTCCCTCAAACTCTCAAATGTGTCTGTGACCCTTAAAGTTTAAGAACACTGGTCTAGAGAGAACCCAAAGTGTTGTGGGCCACTGTGCTCCCTTGGCCACCAGCCTCGGATGCCAGCATCTTGAGAGCACACCAGGCCTCTAGTGTTTCTGCTTAGGCATGAACTGGGATACAGTATCAAATATTGCTGACGTTCACAATTATAACTGTAAATGTACAGCTGTCCTTTGGGATGCCCCAAGTACTTTTTTTTTTTTTTTTTTTTTAATTGAGATGGAGTTTCGCTCTGTTGCCCAGGCTGGGGTACAGTGGCGTGATCTCGGCTCACTGCAACCTCTACCTCCCGGGTTCAAGCAATTCTTCTGCCTCAGCCTCCTGAGTAACAGGGATTACAGGTGTGCACCACCACGCCCAGCTAATTTTTGTATTTTTAGTAGAGATGGGGTTTCATCATGTTGGTCAAGCTGGTCTCGAACGCCTGACCTCATGATCCGCCCGCCTCAGCCTGCCAAAGTGCTGGGATTACAGGCGTAAGCCACCACATCCAGCGCCCCAAGTACTTTTTATGCTGTAAAAGTACAACCGTGCTGTGGGATGCCCCAAGTATAACCATGAAAATGCACGCTCAGCACCCCAGACATGCCAGCATGTTTGAACATAGTGTATTCACCCCATAAGTGGTAGCTATTTTTTTATTTTATTAAATTTTAAATAAATTAATTTTAAATGCATTTTTGTTTTGTTTTACTCTTATCATTGTTATTATTTATTTGGTCAGGAGCCAGGACTCAGGTGGTTATTTAGTCACTGAGTGATTAAAATCTGTATGTCAGGAGCTGTGCTATATTTCGAAGACACAGTGACAAACAAGAAAGGCAGGGTACCTACCCTCTTGGAATCAGTTGGAACGGCAGATAATGAGCAAATGTATCAGCATCATGCCTGGCTCACGGGACATTTCTGTGTGTATTTGTTGAAAGACTGTTGAATGAATTTCGACTGTGGTTATTATTAGGAAGAAGTCAAGGTGCTGCAGGTGGCAGACAAGGAAACTTCATCTCTTCTAGTGGGTCAGGGAAGAGGAAGGGGGACTCAGGCTAAGGCGCCTATGCCATGGGCCACCAGGAGTTACACAGGACTGTTCACAGGGGGCTGGCAGTCCCATGAAGACTCAGTATCTGGAGGTGTGGGGTCGAGGCCTGGAATACTGAACAACCAAGGGCTTAGGAACCTTGTGTAAACTATGATAATGTGGGCCAGAGGTACGGATGACATCTACAGTCTGCTCAAGTAGTGATGGTCCCTGGCTTGCAAACATGTTGCTCTTCCAGGTTCCAAGGGAGGCTGTTGTTCAACCAGTATTTACCTATGTAGCGAGTTCTGGGTTCAGAACCCTACTTCTGTCAGGAGGCAGGAAGGATGGAAGGACATCCTTCCTGCAGCCGGAGGCAGCAGGGCCCCAGCCACTGCTGGCAGTGGCCATGGACACACAGTGCAGTGTCTGAGCAGTGTGTGAAGAGACTCCCTCACTGTCTGAAGGGCTTCACTCACCCTCCACTAGTGAGAAGCCTCTGAATATTGGCATGGAAGGGAAGCATTCACATATTAAGGGTAAAATCAAAGTCAGAACAAAATTCAAAGTCTGCTCTTGGCCCTCAAGACCCTGAAAGGCCCCAGTGACTGTAATTCCACTCACCTACTCTCCCTCTCACTGCTCCCCAGCCCCACAGCCTCTACTGGTCTTTCTGGTCAGCAGGCTCCCCTTGCCTCTTGCATGCTGTGCCCTCTGCCTGGTATACTTAGATGTGTAAACAGAAGTGGTTTCTAAACTCCTCTCTCTCATCATGTGTGTGGACTGTGATACCCAACCATCAGTAACAGCAGCTGATGAGGACAGTGATCATTAGCTAGAGAGCACACCCTCGGTCCCCCCACCCAGCATTATTAGAATAATAATAATCCCCCACCAGGTCCCCCTACCTAGCATTATTAGAATAATAATAATCCTCCACCAGGTCTCCCCACCTGGCTTTATTAGAATTACTATTAGAAACTGTCCTCTAGTGATTCTGGTAATTGTGATTTGTGCCCCCTTACTACCACTAGTTAAAAATTGCGGGTTTATGAACTGAGCTCCCTAGCTAGACCATGGACTTCCCTCACGTGTACAATGGTATCTTACTCTTTTTGTATCTGTGGCATCTAGTCCCAAGCCCAGTATACACTGAGGGATCAGTAAAATTTTTCTGAAGGAATGGATGAATACTATAGAGATAATCTCTTGCTTCTTTTCATTCTCCACAGTGTATTTTGGAGATGCATTTTATAGAATTCTAGAGGAACTAGATTGACACAAACTCTCTTCAACCCATGAAAGTCTGTGCTTCCACGGAGGTCTCTGGAAAGCAGCAGAACAGTCCAGCTGCATCACTGCTTGGTGGCCGGGCATGCTGGGTCCTCCCCGGGCCTCCTGCTGTGGATGTATGATCTAAACTTGCCCAGGCTCAGATACACAGCACGGTTCTCAGAGAGTGGCAGTCTCCATCCTCCTGTAAAGGGATGGGCAGTTTTCCAAGGACTTCCTTGCTTTCCTGCCCTTCCTTCAGAGCTAGAAGTCTCTTACCTCCCTTACCCCCGAGCTAGAAGTAATGTTAGAGATTGCTTCGGTTATCCACTCCTGAGTAATCCATCACCCCTGTTACTCAATGGTTTAAAACAGCAGCAATAGTTTCTTATATCTCATGGTTCCTGTGGGTCAGGAATTTGGGAACAGCTTGGCTGGGCAGTTCTGGCTTGGATCTTTTATGCAGTTGCAGTTAGATGGTGACTGGAACTGGAGCAGCTTGGGGCTGGCACCACTGGATGCTGGCCGGCTGCTGCTCTTTCCAAGCCGTCTCAGGACCTCTGCCCTGTGGTTACTTCATAGGCCTGTTTGAGCTTCCTCACGGCATGGCCACCTGAGATTTCCCGTATGCAGCTCAAGGCTCTAGAGGCAGGTGTCCCCAGAGAGAGCCAAGTGAAAGCTATGTAACCCTTTATAGCCTCATCTTGGAGGTGACACAAAATCATTTTTGTTGCATTCTGTTTGTTAGAGGTCACTAAGGCCAGCTCATTTGGGGAAACTGAAATTAAACTCTACCTCCTGAGAAGAGGAGTGTCAGATAATTTGCAGACCTGTTTCAGAACCACCACAGAGATACCCAGTTTCCCCCTTCATTCCACACTTGAGACTCCTGAGGTTTGAGGGGAAGAGCCTTGTCCAGAGGTGCCCAGCCTGGCATGGGCAGACCTGGAGTGTGGCCCAGCCCCTAGGCCTTAGGCAGGGCTGCTAGGAAGTGATCTCACTTTCCCTTCCTTCCTGTCCCCTCACAGTAAGATAGAGACTGCCACTCTCTGGGAACCTTGCTGTGTAGCTGAGCCTCAGCAAGTTTGATAATACAGACACAGCAGGAGGCCTGGGGAGGACCCAGCATGCCCGGCCACCAAGCAGTGATGCAGCTGGACTGTCCTTCAGCTTTCCAGAGACCTCCTGGAAGCACAGACTTTCATGGGTTGAAGAGAGTTTGTGTCACAATTCCAGTCCCTAGCCCTGGCCCTACATGAACTAGTAACACCACCCTGCCAGGAGGATGTAGCTGCTGAGGAGGTAAGCGTTTTAAAAAATTCATGCCCCAAAATAATTATTTTTACTGTTGCTGTGAAGTTAAATACCAAAGAGTAGAATGTGGTGGTAGAATCAAGAGAGTCAACCCAGCATCACTGAAAAGATTCTGAAGGTTTGTATCCAGGTGAATATCCAAAACAGGAGGTTGCATAAGCATGGGTAAAACCATCTCGGTGTATGTTTTAGACAGCCTTGTGGAACGTTTTCCAGGGACTTGCTTACTTTCTTCCTCTTCCTTCAGAAATGCCTTGTTATGAAGCTGGGGACAGGGGAAAAAGAAGGTCGGAAAAGGGAATGGGTACTTTTCAGTAAACCCATACTACATGCCAGGCATGATACTAATTCACTCCCCTGCTTTATAGCCTAATAGCACAGGCTCCATCTGGCTCCACACTCCTTGGGTATATGGCCTTGGGCAAGCTCCTTAACCTTGCTGAGTTTCAGCTGCCTCTTTTGTACTACAGGATAATTGTATGTTCTATGTCATAGAGTTACTATAAAATTAAATGCTTGTAAGATGCTTAGCACAGTCTGGCATGCAGTAAGAAAGAAGTGTATAACAGGCCGGGCACCGTGGCTCAAGCCTGTAGTCCCAGCACTTTAGGAGGCTGAGGCGGGCGGATCACGAGGTCAAGAGATCGAGAGCATCCTGGCCAACATGGTGAAACCCCACCTCTACTGAAAATACAAAAATTAGCTGGACGTGGTGGTGCACGCCTGTAGTCCCAGCTACTTGGGAGGCTGAGGCAGGAGAATCGCTTGAACCTGGGAGGCGGAGGTTGCAGTGAACCAAGATCGTGCCACTCCACTCCAGCCTAGTGACAGAGCGAGACTCCATCTCAAAAAAAAAAAAAAGAATATAACTGTTGGCTCCAATTAATCCCCGCAGCCACTTTTTAAGGCAGGTGTAAGCTCTCCAATTTTATAGAAGGGGTGTCTGCAGTCAAGTGAGGTGCCCAGCACCATGTGCTGCTATAGGGACAACAGCTGAGATTCTGAAATCCTTGTGGCGTCCACCACACTGCATTAGCCTCCAGGCAGCTCTGCCAGGGCTTTCCTGACATGCAGTAGTTGGCGGCGGAGGAACTCAGGAGGCTTCGTGCCCTACAGGAGCCCATGTCAGGTCCTAGAGCAAGAACATTTGGAAAACCAAGGCCAGGAATCCACTGATCCACTTAGGAGGCTCTATAGGGAGCGGGGTTACAGAGACTGTTGCACACAGAGGAAATAGTCTAGTAAAGGCTTTGAGGTCAGGAATTAAATGAGGTTGGAGGATTTAAAGAGAGGCCCAGTGTGACCAGAGCAAAATGGACCAAGAAGAGAGCAGAAATGAGACAAAGGCTCATCTGCAGAGGCAGGCAGGGCCAGATCCTTGTAGGACTTCAGGGGCTGGCATCAGGAGTGTGGATTTCACTAGATGTGAAATAGAAAAGCATCAGAGATTGAACAAAGCAGGGAAATTCCAATGACCCAATTTCCATTTTGAGAACGTTACCCTGCCTGCCATATAGAACGCAGACCCTGGGCGAGGGATGAGAGAGACACAGGACTCTGACTCTGGTCAGGGTCTCTGCTGAGAGTCCTGGTGAGACATCCTGGAGCCTGGGTGGTGCGTGTGGAGGAGCGAGGTCAGCAGATTCAAGCTCTGTTTTGCAGGTAGAAACAAAAGGACTAGGCTGGGCACTGTTGCTCATGCCTGTAATCCCAGCTCTTTGGGAGGCCAAGGTGGGAGGATTGCTTGAGGCCAGGAATTTAAGACTAGGCTGGGCAGCATTGTGAGACCCTGTCTCTACAAAAACATAAAAAAGAAATGACAGGACTTGGTAAAGAATTGTCAATGGGTGGTGAAGAAGAAGGGAGGTCAGGGGTGGCTGCGGGTTTCCAGCTGGGCAGATGGTGGTGCTCTTGCTCAGCTGGGAAGGCCAGGGCGAGCAGGCTGGTGATTTGCCGTCTGAAGCTTGCAGTGCTGGTGGGATAGCCAAATGACACGCTCAATAGGCTGTCACAAATCTAGACTTTTAAGAGAGGGTTGGGGCTCTTTGAGGGTCACCAACGTAGATTATTTCAGGGAAAGGATAAGAGCCCCTAGGGAGAAAACAGAAGAGACTGGCATCCTAACACAAAGGTACCGGCAGTAGCAGGTGCCTGTGTGGAGTGGTTGGAGGGAGGCCCACAGGGTGTGGTGTCTGGAAGTCCCATGAGGAGAGTGGTCCGAGAAGAAATGAGTTGGAAGAGGAGGACAGAAAGGTGTCCCTGGGGATAGGCAGCGTAGAAGTCACTCAGGACCTTGTCTGACCCCAGCACCCTGCCCTTCCCTCCCTATCACTGCCTGCATCCAGGCCTGCTTGGGTCTAGGCCTGGCAAGTGCAGAGACCAAGGCCCGGCCTCTCTGCCTCCAAACAAAGCCTCACCCAGGGCCACTCTTTGAATGGCAGCAGGCACTGCCCAGGCAGGCATCAGGCTCCTCTCTGGTGACCTTGTACTGGATGTGCCCCTAAGGCGCTGGGTAGGGCTTTGCAGCCAGCCCCGGGCAGGCCACACATGGCTAGAACCAGCAGCCCTCCCTTTTCCCAGGTTCGTGGAATGTTCTCATTTTGGGGCCCTGAGTTTTCTGTTGGCCTCAGTGCCTCTCTTTTCTGGCTTTCCATCACAGAGAGAAGCCGCTACCCTTGGAATTTGATGAATGCCTGTTCAGTAGGCCCTGGCATTTCTGTTTCCACGGCCCTTTTGTCCCTCAGAGAAGCCTTAGAGAACATTTTGCCCACCCCTGATAAAACTTCTCCCATGAGACCAAGTCCCACTTCTGTGCTTCATGTCTTCTGCAAAAGTCTGTTTGCTTTTTGTGTGTTTTCTGCAAATATTGAATTTTTGAAAAAGAAAAAAAAAAGCAAAACAGGAAATGACCTTTCTAGTATATTTGGAAAACAATTTGAAGCTTGTAATGGAATCTGCCTGAGCAATGAGGACTAATAGCTGCAGACTTGGAACAGACCATGTAGCTGTTGGCAGATACTGGGGCCTCTTCAGTTTACAAAGCTGGGGGGAGTATTACAAACCCACTGGAGAAGTGGCTTCCTGTGGGGAAATGCCCAGAGCAGGCACCTGCAAGCACCATAACCTCTAACCCCAGGGCCCCAAAAGGTCTGGGGACAGAGTATAAGGGCTTCACCCTTTGTCCTGGGCATTCAAGGTCAGTCACATGTCTGGCAATCATCCAGATCCCATAAGACACCAAAACCTCCTGAGGATGAGGAAAAGAAAGAGCTTCGTTCTTTAGCACCCCGTAGGGCTCAGGCTGAGCTAAGAGATTCTAGATTGTTTTTAGACTCAAATTGCCTGTTGGCTTTCTGGGTCACTCTCTATCCAACTTTTCTGTAGATTTCAGCAAAAACCATCTCCTCAGAGAGGCCTTTCCTCATCATGCAGCCGTTAACTGAATGATCCACATGCAGAGAACCCTGTCCTCTTCTCCCATAGCTCATATCATAATCTGTGATGATAGATCCATTGACTTGTTCAGTGCCTTTTTCTCTTTACACATTGTAAATACCTTTTTTAGTTTCCAGTATATACCCTGTGCCTGGCACAGTGCCTGGCATATAGAAGTTGCTCAGTACATTGAATGAATAAATGAAATATCAAGACTGGAAGACTTAGAGACCAGATGCAATGACTCATGCCTATAATCTCAACACTTTGGGAGGCCGAGGCAGGTGGATCACTTGAGGTCAGGAGTTCAAGATTAACCTGGCCAACATGGTGAAACCCCATCTCTATTAAAAATACAAAAAGAAAATTAGCCGGGTGTGGTGGTGCATGCTTGTAATCCCAGCTGCTTGGGAGGCTGAGGCAGGAGAAGCACTTGAACCAGGGAGGCGGAGGTTGCAGTAAGCGGAGATCATGCCACTGCACTCCAACCTGGGCGACAGAGTAAGACCCCATCTCAAAAAAAAAAAAAAAGCCTGGAAGACTTGGAGATCATATTTCAAATTTTGTTATTTAGATGGTGGGAAAGGAAGCTGAGAGAGAGAAGGGGACTCTTCAGGGGTCACCCTACTGCACGGGTATTGAACCAGATCTTCAGCCACTGTTATGATGCAGGGCCGCACATTCTTTGCTCTTCTTTCCCTGTAATCTAGAACATCTTCTATTATTAACTCGTTCATCAACTATTCATTGAGCTTCAAGTATGTGCAGGGCCTTCTGGACATATAACAGTAATCACGCCAGTCAGGGTCACCACTTCTGGGGAATTTATATTCTTACCACGCAACACCATAAAGCACCAGAGAAGGAAGTTTTAATCTTCTGTAGCACCATTAAACAGAGTAAAAATAAAGGAGCTGAATGAAACATCCAAAGGCAGGTTTTACTAACTCAGCCTCCAGATGAACCATCCTAATCATTTATTAATTGAATTCCGCTTACATTCCCCGTCACTTACTACACTTTTTGCATCACCATATTATTGAATCTTCATAACAGCCCCCTGCACTGCAGGGTGTGACTGTTAGCCCCACTTTGCTGAGGTGAGGGGACTTGTGCACGGCCTCACAGCTGGTCAACAGCAAAGCTGGGCTGGACGAGCACCCTAGATGCCCTCTGCCCTGCCACCCATTCCTCTCAGAGATTTGTAATGTCATCAGGGACTCCCAAGGGGGCTGTGTGATGTGGGGAAAAGAGCTCTGGACCAGGAGTTAAGACCGCTAGATCAAGAACCCTAGGCAAGTCCCTTGCCCTTTCTGAGCCTCCGTTTCTGCAGCTGTTGATGAGAGGCTTGTCTAGATGAGCTCTGGGATGTCTTTCGGTTAGATTCTACAACAACTTTTCATTAATTGAAAAGGTATTTGCCCTGTGATGGTCCTGAATGAATCAAAGCTGTCTCCCTGCTGGAGATAGGTCATGGACTGTTGGAAGTGAAGACTCAGAAATCAGGAGAGAAGACTGTAGACCCATCTGTTAGGGCATATTAGCAATCATAT